ATTATCAAAAGAACATTTGGTGTCTGGAAAAAGACATGGGTCATCCTTCGCGATATGCCTACATACCATTTACTAAACAAGTTCATATTGTGGTGGCCAAGATGGCACTCCACAATTTCATTAGACGACATCCATCTAGATCAGATGAAGACTTCAATATGGCTGACACTGACGAGATGCATATCCTAGCTGAAGCATTTGAATTCCAGATTGGACAACCTATTTTGGAAGAAGTTATAGGAACCCATGAATTTGAGACCCAGGAAGGAAGGTGAAGCTGCAGCAGAGATGGCTGTTTTGAGGGAGCGTATCACATAAGTTTTATGCGACTCCTAATTGGACTCAACTTTTTAATTTTGTTTTTACATAATATCTTTTCATTTTCTTTGTTTAACTCAACAACTGCATTGTTATTGAATAGGGTGGCAGCTATTACCCCATCTATCTTTTTGTTAGCTTGTAATGTTGGTGATTCATACTCTAGTCCAAGTTATCAACAATATTTTTCATTCCTTTATGCAATTCCAGTAATTTGAGTTTGCTGTTCAAGTGTTTAATCGGTTTTGAGATTGGAGAGCATAATGGATGAAATTGCAGTGCACTGCATGAAATTGGTTTCTGCAGTTTTGGCTTAGCTATTTTTAATGTTAAAAATGGTGTTGAAAGCATAAACTTTGACTTATGTCTTTGATGCATTATATATGGCTCATTTGGTGTTAAAAATGAAAGCTGATATTGCCAGATATGTGGCTCATTTGGTGTAAAAATGGTGTTGATTAGTTGCCAATGAAAGCTGATATTGGCCAGTACCTGTTCTTGTCCCTGTTCTACATATGAATAATGACCTGAATTACCAGCTGCAGTTATTGTTATTTTGGCATGTATGTGTTTCCTTTGAATTACCAGCTATGTTTCCTTCGAACATTGGTTCAAAGCTGTTCTAATTTGGTTCAAAGTATTAAAATTGCAAAGTCAGGAATGCAATGAGTCAAAAATTATATTTTCAGTATGGGAAGAGAAACATCATGAATGGTTCATTTCTCTTATGGGACATGATATAATATAAGTTTATATGCAAGGCAGAAATGAATATTTACATAGATACCACACAATTCTGATGCATTTACATTTCCAGCACCCACATTACAATATACATGGCACTAGAGATAAATGCATATGTACAAATTTGGTCCAGCTTCTTTGTGATTATGTGTATGCTGTACTTAAATTTAAAATTGGTGCATATGTACTTTTATAATCTTAAACTGTTATGAGAAGTTCCGTTTAACTGTTAGAACTTTTGTAGTCTGGATTAGGGCCGTTAATTAAGGGGAGTTATGTAATGATTTGTTCCATCCAGTTGGTCCTTTTGCAGACTGAACTGGGGACATCTTTGTTTTCCAGGTTTATAGCTTCCTTGTTTACATTATGTTATCATATGGGGATACACTTGCAACACATTATTTCAATTGTTTTTGAATTCTCGAGTCTATCATTGTTTAGTTGAGGATGAGGCCTGTGGCTTTTATTGTGGATTCTATTATTTTTGATTGTCGTGTCTCTTGGCCATATATATCAATTGCAATTATGAATTTGATTGGCGTGTCAATTTTATTATATTTGATTGGCGTGTCTATTTTGTATAGATTGCAGGTGGTCATGCTGCTTATAGTTCTCTATGTGGAAATGAATGAGCTGCAATTCTGATTCGAGTGCTTCCATTTCTACGGTATCCCACTCAGACAGGTTCGTTCAGGGTTCTGGAGTGTCAGAGGCTGGCGGAATTGGCCGTGATGTGCTGCTACATGTTAAAGTCAACATCATTATTTTTTTCATTATAATTTTAACATGTTATTTTTTCTTCATTTTAGGGTCTCATTATAGTATATATTAGTATGTTAAGTTGTATTTCATTTTTGTTTAGGTAAATGTGCTTGATGTGATCTCAAATATTTTAATGATATAAATATTTTATATTTTTATGTCTTCACTATTGAACTTTAATTTTAAGAATATTTTTTATTTTCATGTTCCTATAATTCACGTTTTTTTTTTCTTTTATGATTGTATTAAGAAGGTTGGTAAAGTTGTAATAAAATATACAAATAAGTTGTTTACAAAATACACAAACTAAATAACTAAACAACTTATTCAGATCAGGAGCAGATTGATCATTTATCCAAAACCAGTTGTTTTCCAAACGCACAAACCAAACAACCAGCCAACTTATCCGAACCAGCTGGTCATCAGTAGATTATCAGGATAAATAGATTATCAGGATAAGCTAGATAAGCTGCAACAACCCCAAACAGACCCTAAAACAGAGTTAAGTTTAACCCTAAACCCTTATATTCAATCCTACTTTATCTTAAATATAATTGAATTCATAACGTGATATGCATTTTATTTGGTATCATATTTAGATATATATAGTTTTGTTGCATGACATTTTTTCAAAACATAGATATTTGGATTGCCTGCATTCCAAGAATTTGTTGGAACCGTGTCGAGTGATACCTTCCAGATCATGTTTTACGACAGCTTTCTAACATCCAGTCTATATCTATTGAATGTATCGACCAAGATTTTAATAAAGTTGGTGGACGAGTTAAAGCTGAAGTTGATTAGATGCAATATCATTGTAAGTATATCGAGATGTGGAATATACGTTTGGCGACTATAATATCATTAAACCTTCCACAAGGAGACGAGAAATAAGAATTGACATTATTTGTAATGGTACTGATCTTGGGCATCACTCTACCTAGTGAAGCCCCACACTCAACCTCCTGATGCTTAATACCCTTGATCACCAAGAGAGAGAAAAATGGTATGCGTTTTTCAAAATTTATAACTACTGCTAATTATTATTATTATAATACATAATAATAAATTAAATTTCTTTAATTATACACATGGATTACTTTATTTATACCAAAAATATCACAGAAAAGTTTGGAAGAGGTAGTGGTGGAAGTGCTAGCTCTATGAAACAAGGATACAATTAGATACTTGAGCTATCACGTAGAGTTGAACAATCCATATATATCGATTATACTGCATTTGATCAACCAAATATGCATGATTTAGAGGCGGGGCCATCTCATAGAACAGATGTCAAACCATCTGGCCCCTGTAAATCAACTTCTGATGTTCCACATTAGTTGTGTTCTACTGCCACGAGACGATCAGTTACAGATGCTCCAAGAAGATCTTCAGTTTTCAGAAGACATAAATCTCTCTTAAATGAACCGCACAAACAACAATATTCACAATCATCTACTTATCTTGGTGGATGAACATTTGTGAGCCCTTTCAGCTATGCTACCCTATGGATATGCATGACCCACCGGCTACGCATGACCACTGACATACGAGGGTCCATCATATGATTTGCAATGGACAACATCTACTTGAGGAGATTTGGATTTAAAATTTTAGAGCATTCTCATGTTTGCGCCTATATCTAATGTAAGACTATTTTTAAGCTCACCTCCAATTTATACACCACTAGCACAAATGAACTAAATCAATTATTATGTGCCCCAACAAGCTTCGAATGACGCAACTGAAGACGATAATTCTGAAGAAGAATTAAAGACCGCCAATTGCGAGAACGATAACTGCCATCGTCTTCTCGATATACACTAAGTTCATGGGTCATTCCACGTCGGCAAAGAAAATAATTTGTCTTATGAAAACATTCGTTATGATAATTTTTAATTGTAAACTATTTTTTTTTTATAATATAATTTATTGTTTGTTTATTCATTTTGTTCATGTATATTTCTTAATTAATTTGAAGTTATCTAAAACTTAACTAATATAATATAGATTTATAAATTAATAATAAATAATAAGAATATCATATATAATATTTTTATTAATAATATATAATATTTTTTTTTCTATTATTTTATATGAAATGCCCCTCATGGGGGCGTTTATGCTCATAATTTAATTTTTTTAACCTCTTCTCAAAATTTATGCATAATATTTAATATAATTACTGAGATTATGTCAACCTGATTAATTATTACTAATTTTTTTACAGATTTTTTTATTGTATTAAAAAAAATAAAGAATTTAAATAAAAGCAACATATGTTTTTATATATTTATATACATACCACACAATTCACATGTATTTACATATCTAACTCTTAAAATTTCGCATTTAAATTCATAACACTCAAATTTTTAACATCACATAAAAATATCACTAAAGCTTTATTTCTAAAAGTGAAATACACCGAAGTTTATTACACAAAAACTATTATGAATATAAATTTAAAGGAACTGTTCGAAATAGTGTTATTAAGTGGCAAGTTGGTAGGCAACTGCGTTGTGAGTCGTAAGAGCCCTCTGACTCGGGTTCGATCCTTACGGAGACGGATAACACATATGTGGAGCGGGATTTGCAAATACCATATTTTAAAAAAAAATATAAACTGTTCGAAATATTAATATTTACAAATCAATGATCTTGGTAATATTTTTGAACTCGTGTTCGGCTGGTTAAGAAGCTCGTGTTATACTCGTTCACTAAGTTAACGAGATCGTTTTGGCTCGAAATACTACTAATCAATTATATCTTTGATGAGTAGTATTTTTCAAAAAATTAATTGACTACAAGACTATAAAGATTTATAATCAATTAAAAGTATTAATGAAGAAAATAGAATAAAAAGAAAATAGAATAAAAAATAAAAAATATTAAATTAGATTCAGATGATGTTTTAAATCTTGCCTCAATCTTTAACATCTTATGATTATGTGATTAGGGTTGTTAAAACGGCTTTTTTGTTCGCGAACGGCTCGTGTTGGGCTCGTTTAACAAAGGAGCCGAACACTAATATATTTTTTGAGCTCGAAATATAAATGAGGCTTAGCTCGTGTTCGACTCGTTTATACCCCTATATATATATTAGTGGGAATTTTACCATGAATTTTAATATTTAAGTAAGAATTTGAAAGGAAGTTGTTTTGGATGGTTGAATGTAGAACTGCTCGGTCTTCACAAAAAATAAAAAAGACCGCGGGTCTCCCTCGCAGCTTTCGTGCGCAGTCTTCCATGGCGGAGTATAGCCGAGTACACGAGGGTCTCGTGGTGAAGGGTTTTCTCTTCAGTGGGTTCTTAGCTGGATCCACCTCACCAAGTTCTAGAGCCAGGGTTTGGTTTACAGCCGTTCTTTCGTCATTACCCACGCAAGATTGCTCGTTAGGTGTTAATGGGAGCTGATTCCTCCGTCCGCGTTGGGCCCGACTGGCCATTGGGTGGAAAAAAGAGTAGAGAATTGGTCTCGGATTCGAATTTGTGAGCATCGGAATGAATTCGATTCTTCTCTCTTTAAATTCAACTCTTCTGCTATTTGGAAGCTTATCCTACGACATTGGAAGAGATCAGGTCTTCGTCTTTTTTCGTGTACTATTTTTTGATTGGTTTTATCGGAACGAATCTCCTGATGGAATGTTTACTCGAATGAATAACTGTATTAATGTTCTCGAATTTAGGGTTTGGTTCTAAGATTTGTTGTGGGAGATTGGGGAAGAGGTTTACTGTTTGCCACTGTTGGAAACTAGCTGGTACGTCTGTTTGGTTTTTCTATAAGTTCCCAGGAACAGCTGGTGATCCCGTGCAATATTCATGTTCATGTGGACCCTTATCCATTTGATCACTTCTGAGTTCTGAATCATGCTGATTTGTGGTTATGTGAATTTTGTTCTAGGGCTGGAAAATTGATGCGGAATTGGTGATACGTGTTAGTTGGAACTTGATGCTTTCTATTTAGTTTGGTTGTTTGCTTTTGTGATTGAGTTATTCTTCCTTGGCAGCTTTTGTTTATTCTCCGTCCTGAACGTGAGTTTTTTGCTGCTGGATGCAATAAAGATTAGATTTTCATGTGACGACAGGTCTGGAAATACAAGATGATTATGACAGTCTGAAAATTGGTGCAAGAAACTTTAGTTGTCGCATATACTTTTATTATACTACTATACTTGTGTGGGTCGAGTTGTCATTGTGAGCCTTAATCTTATTTAGCAGGTTACGAAGCTGAAAATCAACAGAGTGTTTGCCAAGGTTGAAGTCTCCCAAAGATGCAAGTCTCATCTAAAAGACACATCTCTTCAAGTTGCACATAGAAAGTCATTTCTAGAAATCAACATATTAAAGTCATCAACTCATCTTAGAAACATTCTTTAAGATCTCGACTACTTGTTCAAGAGTACTGAATATCCAATTAAGGGTATTTGCTTCATGTTTTAAAATTTCTTAGTACGAGGCTAGTATTGAGGACGGACTGCCTTGATATTTTTTTTTTGAAAAACTTGCAATGAGGCTTACACCTCAGATAATCCTCCCTTGCCTCAGATCTAAGAAAGCATGTACAAATATATCTAAATTTTTTCTTGAAATAAATATAAGTAAAATAATCCTATTAAGTAGTTGTTGTTTATGCTTATAATACACAATTAGAGATGTAATTAAAGTTGTTACTGTCAACATAGTTATTATTTTAAAATCTAATGAATATTTTTATGAATTAATACTGATTAAATAAGAGGAAGATGCTTGAGTTTTAAATTTAGAAAGAACGAGACAACATGGATATAATTGAAGATGCATTAAATTCTTATGCTGATGAATTTAATGAAACCTCATTAATGATAAAAGTGGTGTAATCTTTTAATTTAGAAATTCTAACCTTAATTAATTTTTATGCTCCTTTATGAATTGATAATATAGGTGAGAGAGAGTCCAAGTCTATCAAACTTATTTAAAATTTTTATGTTATTATGAATTCAATGTTTATATACATTTTTTTTATTTTATTATTTGCTATTTGGATGTTGATATATTACTTTTTATTTTGAATAAATTTTTATCATATTAGGATGTTAATTTATTATATATTAACCTATTAATATGCTTGGGTGTTAATACATTATTTTTACTATATACATTGAACATAGTATTATACTTATTGCTTTTTGCAATTTACTGAGCTTGAGGCTTAATCCTTATAAGACTCGAGGCTTACATCTCATCACATGAACAAAAAAATGCCTCAATATTTATCAATAAGAAGAGCTCACCAAGAGAATTCACCTCATAGAATTCATTATAGAGAACTCACCTTTAACATAAAATTTGATGACAATTATTAATCACTTGGACAACTACTATCCAAGCCTAATTTTTATTTTTAAAACTTTCTTCATTAAACCTATTTAATTGGGAACGTTCATGCATGTATTATTTTAGCCATTTCTATAGTGTCAAACTTTAAATCGAACTTGTAAATAAGTGATTAGAGGATGATTTTAACACATGAACTAGTTCCATATTTTTCGACACTTAAATTTAAGAACCAATGACTTGTTCTCTAGATTTATTGTTCTCTCTTTATTTTTCTTTTACAATATACCATGATTGATAGCAAAGTGCTGGTGTTACTCACATGTATTTGGATCCAACTCCCAAAAAATTCTGGTGGGTGTGGACACTGTCGAGGAGAAGAAATGATGCTATGAACCACCTAGGTGAAAGGAGAGATATTCTTTGGTAAAAAAATAAGGTTATGTAACCCAAAACTATATTGGTGTAAGGTCCTGGAGACCCTCATGGACATATTTAGATCCAACATCCTAAAACTTGAATTATGGCGGCCTGCCTTGGAGTCTAAAGGCCTTCGTTTGAGTAGGACTAAAACTGAATACGTGGAATATAATTTTAGTAGTAATAGCTCTAGTGACAGAAATGAGACTATGAGTGATCAAATTATTAAAATGTGTGAACGCTTTAGATATCTCAGGTCTATTGTTTAAAGTGATGGTGATATTGATGCGGATGTTATGAATAGAATTCAAGTTGGTTGGTTGAAGTGGAGGAATGCTTCGAGCTTATTGTGTGTAGAAAAGTACCGCTTAGACTGAAAGGAAAATTTTATAAGATAGTGGTGAGACCTGCAATGCTCTATGGCGCTGAATGTTGGCCTTTAAAAGAGAAGCATACAACTAAGTTATGTGTTGCCGAGATGAGAATGATTAGGTGGATGAGTGGCTTTACACTTAGAGATAAAATGCGAAATGAATATATCAGTGATAGGGTTGGTGTAGCTCCAGTGACAGACATAATTAGAGAGAGTCATTTTAGATGGTTTGGTCGCATTAAACGTCGACCATCTGATGATCCGATTAGAAGAGTAGAGGTTTTAGATTCGACTCATGTTAAGAAAGACAGAGGTAGATCTAGGAAGACTTGGGCATATTGTATAAAAAATGAGCTTAATTTATTAGAATTAAATGAAAATATGACACTAAATAGGATGCAATGGAGAAAAAGAATTTATGTAGCCGACCCCACTTAGTGGGATAAAGGTTTTGTTGTTGTTGTATCCTAAAATGTGCCACGAGTAGAGGATACTCTAAGGAAAGACATCAATCTATGGAGCATCTTGACAAAGAAGAGAGGAATCCACTGGTAGACAATAATATTATATATTAGCTAGACAACTCAATCAAATGGAAGAACATTGGATAAGACTGATTTAGGATATTATTCATTGATTTTCAAAAGCTCATACAAACATCTTCATGATCAAGGATCTACGAACTCCTTGATTCACATGCCAGTCTAGTTTTAGAACCATGAGCTTCCTCATATTCCTTCTCAAGTTAAATTCTTGATCAGGAATTTTAGAGAAAATTATTGGTCTTTTGGTCATAATTGTCACGGTACATCTATAGTTTAATCTTTTTTTTAGATGATTTCCTCATAAGATTGGACCACATAAGGCGCTTTATGCTTTGTATGATGAGCATTTTTGTGCTCAATGAAGATACTTAGATGAGCTTATGAAAATCAACGAATAATATCTTAAATAAATGTCAGTCTAGTTTTAGAACGATGAACTTCCTCATATTCCTTCTTAAGTTAAATTCTTGATCAGGGATTTTAGAGAAAATTATATGTCTTATGGTCATAATTGTCATGGTACATGTATAATTTATTCCTCTTATTACTTGATTTCCTCTTAAGATTTGCCACACATAAGGAACCTTATTCGTTGTATAACGAGCATTTTTGTGCTTTGGATAATGACCATAGTGGCAAAGAGGGGGCGGTTTTGCGATAACAATTAATTATAGTGCTCTGGTTTTTTAGGAGTTGATGTGCGTGACGGTTATTGCTTTATGGTGGATCTTGTTAAGTGGAGAAGCTTGATTTGCTTATGCTTAGTCTTGCTATTTTTAATCAGTTCTCTCTTTTTTATTGTGGAACATCAATTAAAGTGGACAAAGTATTAAATATCAAAACGATATATTTGCCATTCAATTATATGGCCGTCATTTGAAGTAACTCATGATTTTGGGGCTTTTTGGGCCATAAATATATTATTTGACTTCTTGTATCGCTCGAGCAAATCCTGTAATAAAACTGCTTTGTGACTCCTTTTGGTCTTGCTTGATTTGGAAGAGATTATTTAATTTCTTTTACTGATACTTAGTGCTTGAGAATTGTGCGAGAACTGTATTATGAACTATTGAGAGGTAGTTTGGTGAACCGCTTATGGCAGATTATTTGGGCTTTGCCAACAACATTTGACTTTGTGAAGACATCTGACGTTGTAGATTGTCATCTCACTTTTGAATCTTGTTTGTTGCTTGATGAAACCAATGATTCCTTTGTAATTATTTTACTGAGTGTCTGTTTGGGTCAAATTTGCTTTTTATTTTATTTTTCTGTTGTTATTTTCCGTGGTTTTTGAAAATACATGTTTGTTTCACATTTTTGCTTTTTTTTATTTTTTTGTCTCTAAAAATAAATTAACTTGTATTTGGAAACATTCAAGACAAGTTTTAGTTGTTTAGAGTTATTTAAAAACAAACATATCTTAACCAAAATATGTCAAATATGTTTTGTTTCAAATCAAAACATAAAGAAAACAAAATAAAAATAAAAAAAGAGATAATAAAAACGGAAAAGTAATCCCAAACGACCCCTGATAAAGCTTAAATTTGAGAGGAATTGATTTCCCCAGAATCTCTTTAGTGAAAACTAAGGTGAATGCTGACACCTCAACGATAAATTTAAGCTTTATTGCTCAGATTACTGTCAGATTAATGAAATTGCCCTCTTGGGGGCTGTCTGTTTATTGCTATAGTGGATTGATGCGGCTAGCAACCCCAACAAGACCATTGGGACAAAAGGAGGAGCTGCCATTTCTCTGTGGCTGTGAAGGGCTTGAAAGAGGAGCATGATAGATTATGGTCTAAAGTAGATGTTTGATTCTGGTGCCCAGCTTAGTCACTCGTGCTTGCATGCATATATGTAAGAGCAGCAATAGCAGGAGCTTTTTTTTATAGTCACTGATAGTCGGATGGGATTTTCAGGCATTTACTTACATACCGCCCGGTTCCTATGTATTTATATGTATACCACATGAACTTTGATTTTTACATTTATACCACATGAATTTTTCATATGACATAAAAAACAACACTTTTTTAACTTTTAAAGAGTGATTGCACCTTGAAGTATAGGTGTTAGATATGTAAATACATTGGGATTGAGGGGTGTGAGTGTAAATCTTCCTTTTTTTCTTACTGTGAGACAAGGAGTTTTCAATGTCATCCTTTATAATTCTTTTTTTTTGACTCACTTATTAGCCAGAGCTCCAAATGTGAACATTGGAAATCAATTGTTTGAAGATCATGAATGTTATAACAACGCGAGAGGGATTCTTTGAGCATGGGTGGCTGATCCTTTAATGAATCATAGAAAGTAAGACACAAAAAGCAGAGTTGTTGGTTGTCTTGTTGACCTATGCTTACTTTGACAAAGGGGAAAATGATTTTATTGTTTTCTAAAGCAAATCATGCATATATTAAAGAGTTTGAAAAAAAAAAAAAATGTCTGAAGTTCGGGAAAGAAGACGCCGCTCTAATCCCTTTTTTTTTGTTTTTATAGAAACTTAACAAGTTATTATAAAATAATAAAATGATTGCCAACTTAGCTTCTTGCTCTGATATTTTGCTCGATAATAAATGTGCAGAGTTTAAATACTCTTTCTTAAACTTTATTGAGCTTGGAAAAGCTTTGTTTTCAATCTGATACTTTAGGTGTTTAAGGAGAGGAGCGTCAGGATTACTATACATAAAAGATATGGTTGAAGAAGGAGCTCCATACTAAGACGCTTGAATCTTCTGGCAGTTGAAATTATGTCATGTCTTATTGAATGTTAACAGGATAAATTGCGTCTGATTTATTATTTTTAATAAATTAAAATGGTTAGCTTTTTGTTCATAACAATAGTGTAGGAAGGTCTTAAACTGTTGTAGACGGTTTACAATATATTACTCTTTTTGGGCTCTTCTCCGTTTTTCTTTCAGAACCTATATTTAATAACTAGTAGTATTATTTCTTTCCTTCTATTAAGTGCTTCAGTTTTAGCTCCAGCTTAAAGAATTATCCTTAAAATTAGTTTGAATACCTAATTCTCATATTTGTAAGATGATTCCCCATCTCATTGGTATTTTTAGGCCATTTACATACATAACACACAATTCTTATGCATTTACATATCTCTTACATATCTCACACTTTTACATATCTCACACTTAAACTTTCATATTTACACTCATAGCACTCAATTATTTAATATCACATAAAAGATACAAGTGTTGCCACTTTTTAGAAGTGAAATCCACCTTTTCATGCAGAGGTTTAAAGCACCAAATTGCAATGTGTGTAAATATGAAAGTTCTGGTGTGAGATATGAAATACATAAGAATTGTGTGCTACTATGTAAATTTCTCTATTTTTTCATGCCTCAAAAGCATCCCACCCTATCTTTTTTTGAATTAATATTATCTGTTTCCTGATTGAGTCATTTTCATTAAAGAAGGGACTGGGCAAGAGCAGCAGAAGTTAAGCATCAAAAGCTTCTGGTAAGGAGCACGATGTCCTATTGTGTAAGCATTGGCACACAAAGATTAATGAACTTGTTTAGCTCAGCTTTTATTTCTCATCCATTGTTGTAAGGTCTGCTTCCTAAACAAAGATGAACGCACTAGCTGCAACAAGTAGAAATTTCAAGCAAGCGGCTAAACTTCTGGGTTTGGACTCTAAGCTGGAAAAAAGTTTGCTGATTCCTTTCCGAGAGATCAAGGTGAGGCAGATAGCAATGCTGAATCTTCCTTGCATACCCAAACGTACCACTTGCCTCCTAAGCTGGTGGTTTGCTACTTACAAATTATTTATCTAGTTTGGTCCTTTTTGATTTGTGCATATCATATAAAAATGATCTTAATTTATTAGAATTAAATGAGAATATGACACTCAATGGGATGCAATGGAGAAAAAAGATTCATGTAGCCGACCCCACTTAGTTAGTGGGATAAAGGCTTGGGGATAAAGGCTTGTTGTTGTTATTGTGGTAATTTTTGATTTGTTGAACCTTTCTAGTAAACCCTTACAATAGTAATATGTTTCTCTTTCTGCTCTTATTTTCTCATTACATGATGCATTCTTTTATAACTCTATCAAATTAAGGGCTATGGAATGTCTTCTGTTCAGTAATTTTTTTTCGGGACATTTACATGCATAGCACACAATTCTTATGCATTTACATTTCTCACACCTAAACTTTTATATTTACACACATAGGACTCAAATCTATAATATCACATAAAAATATCACTATCGTCACTTTTAAATATACCTTTTCATGCATAGGTTTAAAGTACCAAAGTGCTGTGTGTGTAAATATAAATCTTTAGTGTGAGTCATGTAAAAACATAAGAATTGTGTGCTAGCTAGGTAAATTTCACTTTTTTTTTTTCTGAGCCATTTGCTATCATTTCAAGCACTATAATAGTCTGATTCTATCCATGTCATCCTGGTCAGTCCCTTTCTCACTCTTTGTATTATCACCGTAAGTTCTTTATTTTCTCAAAGATATCCTATCAATAACTTCCAGCCGCAAACCAGATTTCGTTATATTTCTTGGCAACTCAGAATAGTTATATACAGCGATAGTTTTAGTTGTTAAGCCCAGGCGCATTTCATCAATCCATTCTTTACTTTTCTCGATTGAAAATTGTCATATTTTCCTATACTATTTGTTTATGTTTTCCTTCTTAAGCAGCGCTGATAAACAATTTACAGGTGGAGTGTACAATCCCCAAAGATGATGGTACGTTGGCTTCTTTTGTGGGATTCAGGGTGCAGCATGACAATGCCAGAGGTCCTATGAAGGGTGGAATCAGATATCATCCGGAGGTGTGCTTATTATTCTTTCAGCTTTTTCTATCAGTTGAAATATGCTCTTTAATCAGAACAGTAACGATCGCTGTTTACTTCATTGATTGTTGTCTTCGGTTCTCATCTGAATATAACACCTTAAGACAGGGCTTATGATTGCGCCCTTCTCCTGCTTGTCAGACTTTATGATGGGCTTATAACTGGCTGTTGGAATTAAAGTTGCCTGTTATATTGGGCTTCATAAGCTCTCCATTTCTTATTGTAATTTCACCATGCAATGTCATTAATGAGGCATATTAGTGTCACATTTTATCCTTTTCTCACAATTCGACATTTTTGTAACAGTTCATTTAAGTCGTGGTTAATTTACCTTGTTTATTTTCTACTTTTTAATTTTAGCTGCAACAGGTCACAACAGAGATCGCTGTTATGAACTTTCTTTCTTATTCCTAAACTAGAAAACATGTGGAAAAAGTTATCTTTTCAATTTATAAGAGTGGATATGAATCCCATTATGGGCTTCAAAAATTTGAACTCCATTTGATTACTGAGATAAAGTTTATTTTCGAGGATGCAGAGGTGCATAGTCTGTTAAATGATACAAATGTGAGGTACCTTAGATATTTCAGAGATGAAGAGCCTTTACCCTGAAGAATTTACTCGAAAAATCTGAGAAGCAAGGATTTTGAGGTAACAGTAGATTTGTCACATTTTGAGTGTTATTTGGATCTAGATGATTTCATTAAGTGGCTTTAGACTGTGGAACTTTTCTTTGAATACTAGGACGTCCCATCAAACGAAATGATGAAACTAGCTACCAGCTAATTAAAGAAGAGTGTATTGTTTTTGTGGCAAAATTTGAAACATCTACACCAACATGAGAGTAAAGATAAGATCACTACTTGGTCCCAAATAAAGTGGGAGATGCAATGTTAATACCGCAGTTAAAGAAAGAACTAATGATCCAAGGGAAGATGAAGACTTTAGAGAAGATTCTCAACTTCCAAATAACGCAGAAGAGACGCCATCAATTCCAATTGAACCCAAGAGAAAGATTTTTGCTGAATTAACAATAGTTATTCTGAAGGTAGTGGCTACGAGGTAATGGGCGTTTAAGTCGAGTATGAGGTTGTGGTGCCTTGAATTACTTTTTGACGGACGTTGAGAAGAGCATTAGCAAGACTGACATTGGATATCCAAATTGACCATGATTATGAGGAACTGTTATCAGACATATGACAATCATAGGTAAAAGAATTTCAAAAGTTATAGATGTATAACTTATCTTTTGAGTTGATCCTACTAAGGGAGGTCCAACCTATCAGAGATGAGAAACTTTTAAGCTATTTTTGGGAGACCATATGAACTTATTTGTGTATTAAATTCAAATCATCATTATATCTACCGGTAGATGGCCATATAGGAGGGATGAAACACAAAGTTAGAAATTGCCCTAGAAGCTTGGTGGGAAAGAAAATCTTACGGTGAGATTCAGGTTCTACGAGATAAAAAGAAGAGTTCTCTTCTGAGTGGTTGCTAGTGAGAGCGGCACAATCTGCTATAAACTTTGTCCTCGGGTTGATTATCTCTTCTAAATTAATAGCTTAGGGTTGATGACAACTTGGGACGATGAACTATGAGATTTGCTTGGTTCATCTCCATTATTCCCACCATTTGTTCTGGATTAATGACCAATTTTTTTTTTTAATTTAAAACTAAAATTACTGCTGCTATATTATTAGTGCTTCTTTTTAACGATAACTTTAATTGAAAGTTCTTTTTTATCAATAGGAGGAATAATTAATTATAGAGGCTTGTGTTGCAAAAATCTTGGGACTAGATTTTAAAGCCCTCACAAAATAAGGGCAAAATCTTTGGTTGTATTTGAAATCTAATATGTCTTTTGGAAAGTTGACTTGGACTAAACTGTATTAGAAGAGCTGGTCATGAATTTCTTGATTGGTATTTTTAAGTAAGAAGGTAATAGAAGTTCCAAAATCAAACTATTGACCTTTAAAAACATTTATAGAGTCAGTCATAGACACCCGAGAGCAATGGCACATCCAAGTTGCATTGTGACGCTTTCAGGTAGTGTTTGTAAGTGGTAGTCAAAATTTCCGAATTGCCAGATGAAAACAACTAAAGAAAAAATCATATAACTAACTTAAAAAAAACTAAATCTAATTTTGCCACGTACCAAAATAATAATTAAAACTTTTTTAAAAAATGTTTTTTCCTAGCCAAAGCAAGACCAAATGAGTTCAGATCAGATTTGAAAGTAAATCTAATATATCATAGTCGAATCGAAATCTAAATCAGCTGAAACTAGAGTTTTACTACATTTTTTATGTATATCACTAGCATATGATTTACAATTTTGCAAATCAGTTTTTAGTTTTTTTTTCTTTTTTCTTGGTTTTGACTCTGGCGGTCAGCTGTCAGTGGAGGTAAATTGGTCGAGTTGTCTAGTGGATAGAATATATATATATATATATATATATATATATAATGTAAGATTTTTGCAATGACCTAGAACGCATGTTCTCCTCTAAATGACATTAATAGGTGCCATTTTAATGTTTAAGTTTATACGTTCACTATAATTTAATATCAATAAATATACTATATTGCAGGTTGATCCAGATGAGGTAAATGCCCTAGCTCAACTGATGACTTGGAAGACTGCTGTAGCAAATATCCCTTATGGAGGAGCAAAAGGTGGAATAGGATGTGCACCCGGAGAATTAAGTATTTCAGAGCTCGAACGATTAACCCGAGTTTTTACACAAAAGATACATGACTTAATTGGCATTCATACTGATGTACCAGCACCAGATATGGGAACAAACCCTCAGGTTTGCGTGATTAATATCAGTTTCTCTCCTTATGTTTAATTCTTGGCAATACTAACATTTGTGATCTTTGAAAACTGGACAGACAATGGCATGGATATTGGACGAGTACTCCAAATTTCATGGCTACTCTCCTGCAGTTGTAACTGGGAAACCTGTCGTAAGTAATTGCATCATTATATCATAATTGTCATGCTATTTCTAAGTACATTTATTCTGTAATTTTGTGTCATCACTGTGATTATCCATGATTAAGATATAGTTTCTCCCTTTTATACCTGTGGTAGGGGTGTGTGTGTGTGTTTATTAGTTTTTCTTAATAACCTTTCAAAAATGGCTCACCTTTGAGTAGCTTTAAAAATGAACGATGGGGTTAATTATATGCTTAGCACTCAAAACATTGCTATGTACAAAACTGGCACCCTCTTGCGTTGTTTTTCATAATCTATCCCAAACCTGGGAGCTGGTTTTGTAAGAAGCAGCATTTCAAGTGCAATATATGTAATTTGTGAAAGATGGATACCGTCATTTTTCAAATTTCTTGAACGTTGTGTAAATAAATGGATCTGTTTGTTTGTTACCCTTTATTCAATATTCTCAACTTTTTAATTACGTTCAATGCACAAATCATCGGGAAGAGAGCAAGCTTGCGACTGAAATCCTGCAAATTGAATTAGACGGGAAAAGGGCATTTGTGCTAAAGGATATATTTATTTTTACTGTTGTAATTAACATTATAGCTGTTAAAGTTATTGGGCTTTGTCGATTTGCTCTGTACTACTTCATTTATAGTTTGCTTTTGTCGTTTGTATTGCAGTTTTATGACATCAGTACATCAATTTGTACTTACTATGTATTAGGTTGTTCCTATTCTTCCAAATTGCACTATTTTTACCACAGAATGATTATTGAGAAAAGTTTCAAAATAGTGCATTAATTCTTTGCAGGAGTCCATTTTAGTTCCATTTTATAAAATTGTGAATTTTCTCCCAAAATTTTATTTATAGGGGCTAAAATGGTTCTCTCCTGGGGTTATTTGGACTACTTCTGCCAATATTTAAAAAATATGGGGACTAATTTGACGCTTTATAACCTTTAGGAGTAAAATGACCCCTGACTATTTTGGCATTTACTGCATGACTATTGGTACTCCATGTTGTGTGTGGTTAATGGTTATCATATTTGTGTTTACATTGCCTCCTTGTACTGAAAGATCCGAGCCCAATATCAGGAGCTTGTATGCCAAGACTACTGCAAGCTTAATAGCTGATATACCTGGTTGAAAATCATTTTTTCAGAAGGTTTTTCATATCATACTTGTCGACACTCTGCAAAAGGCCCTACAAAATGCTACTTTTCCAATCATTTTCTTTTTAAAAAAGTTTAGCTTCTGACCTGCCAAAATCTTATTCAAAAAGATTGATTTTTAGATCTGACGTTAAATCCAAGAAGGCACTTCAGTCTAGAATTTATATTTCTTTGGGGAGGAAGGTGTCAAAATTGTCTATTGACACCCTATAAAGAGTCATTTTAGTCCCAGAGTCTATAAAAGTGTTAATTTAGTCCCCAGATTTTTTAAAAGCGGCTGAAATAATCCCATGTAAACATTCAAGGGGCTATTTTACGCTTTAGTCTATATTATGGTTATCGAGCTTGCAACAATAATGGAACACCCCAATATTGAGGCATTTGACTTGTTTAATTTGACTGATGTTGCTATTATAGTTGGTTGATAAGCTGCTATGTAAAAGTAGCTGCAGTAATTTTTTTGAGTAGATGGAGCTGTTTGTGATATGATCCGATGTCAAAATCGGAATGTTTCTTTACATAAATTAGGGGAAACACAATATTTCTTCAATAATTCCAACAACTCAACAAGAACACAAAGCTAAACATCTAAAATTCGAGAGGGAGGTGATCTCTCCCAATTCCTAAAATTCGAGAGGTAGAAAATCTCTCATAAACCTTAAACCTAAGACTCACAACTCAATGTCCTGCATAAACCTAACTCTAGATATAACAAGTCTATTTATACCTAACAATAATAATAATAAAATACTATATTACCCTTAATCATATAAAAGATAAATTTGCCTTCATGTTAGGTGTCAACGTAACAACTAAGTAAGTGTTCCTCGTTCTCCACAGCTAACTCCATTTTTTCATTCTTTGCCTCATAATTCATTATGAGAACTTGTAATTTGCGATCCTTGCAACGATGTTCTAGGATAAACTTGCACTGAAAACTTAACCCTTGGCTCGCTTCACCTGAATCTCCGTCTCTGCAAGGCGCTTGAGTGTTGCTCACGGTTGTGGTCCATTATTCGTGTCCTGTCCAGCCTCCCTCTGGACTCCACTGTTTGAGTTTTTGTTATCGCTGTGGTTCTAGCAGTTCGGTACGACATTCCATCTATGTTGCTTTTGTTGGCCTTCTTCTTCTGATTCTTGTCTTCACCATCTAAGCTATATCCATCATCTCCCTTAGTCTCCGCAATCTCAATAGTCAGGGTGATGCCCGTAAGTTGGGATTTATAGGTCCTTCATGAAAACTTCCTCGAATCCTACTTTAGAAATCCCCCTCAGCCATCCCGACAATAGCTCAAATCTTTCTCTCTATTCCATGACAATCTTCTTCCGAGTCAATACATAGAATTGCTTGTGTAGGTTTCATTCCCGAATTATTTAGAAATGTTCCAACAAACAATCAATAAATTCCTCCACGAATAGACCGAGTATCTAGCCTCCCTCCACTGAAACCAGGCTAGAGCTTTCTCTTCCAATACATCTTGAGTTTCTTCTCCCCATCTATCCCATTCATCACGAAGTATCGCTTCACCCGATACACCTACGCATGTGTGGTTTCCCCCTTTAAAATCAGCATATTCAACTTTCTTACTCTAACTTCTTCACCCCAACTTCCTCTTCCTTCATTGTTTCCCCCCATATATCGAGAATAAAACTTGCTCCTTCGTTTGTAGTCCTGTACACTGCCCGCTTCTCTCTTTTCTTCTTCTTGCTCCTCTATGCCTCTTTCATAATCTCTTCTCCATGTTTCGACCCAATCACCTTCATAAAAAAATTCTAATTCACCTCCAATCGGAGTTCTAAGAGAAGGTTCGTGATGGTGGATGTTTTTCTCGTGTTTCTGGCGTTTGATCTCTTTTCCTTTAAGTTTTACAAATTGAGCCGATGGCGGGGTCTTGGATTGCATCTCAATGTGCCTCTTTATCATCTCTCGAATTTTTCCCATGCTCTCAAATTTGTCCTCCATTCGGTTCTCCATGGAAGAAAACCTATCATCTATTGTGGAAAATATTTATTCCATTCCAGATATGATTTGACTAATCTCTTACTCTAATTTCTTCTCTAACTCATCTACTTTTTTGACCGTCATTCCTCCCAGAAAAATTTTCGGTCACAAAAGGCAAAATTCTAGTGCGTTGTGATCCAATCATTAGCTTCTCTTTACTGTGAGACGCCCCTTACGCTAGCTTCGATCATGACTGTATATAGCTAGATTCAACCACGTTGTATGTCAATCCCTTCGTTGTCTCCCGGAACGCTGCAAACTCGCGCGGTTCTTCCTTGCTATCTCCAATTGCGACTCTATCGCGAGTTTCAGTGGCAGAGGTTCATCTCTGTACCACGCCACTCTATTTTGTCGTTGTCTTCCCAAAACCTCGTGAACTGTTACTTTCTTGCTCACGTGATTCGCGACTACAAATCCCATCGTTGTCTTCCTAGAATGTCGCGAACCTGTGTGTTTCTTCCTAGCTACCTCCAATCGCGAGTTTTATTCACGACACGTGATTCGGTCGAGCGACGGATACATGTATCGGCAAGTGCAATTACCACAATTTTAACTATTTCAGATTTTAGCAGGATTGACATAGCTCTGATACCAATTTGATACGATCCGACGTCAAAACTTGCATGCTTTTCCACTGAAATTTGGGCAAATACAATATTTATTCAATAATTCCAATAACTCAACAAGAATACAAAGATAAACACATACAATTTGAGAGGTAGACGATTTCTCACAATTCGTACAATTCGAGGTAGGAAATCTCTCCCAAAGTCTAAACCTAAGACTCACAACTCAATCTTCTCCATAAACCTGACCCTAAATATAACAAACCTATTTATGCCCAAGAACAACAATAATAAAAAGTCTAAATTGCCTTTACACGGACAAAAGATAAAATTTCCCTTAAGGCTATGCACCAACGAAACAGTTTGTTCTCTGCTGTGGTGCTGATTTTATGTGAAATGGTTGATTTCTTGTTTCGCAAAGATGGCCATGGAGCTGCCTTATCATCCCAAAAGATTTTCTTATTAAAAGATCTTAGGGGTTCATGTGACCTGCCGGGACTTTTCTTGTCGGAAAATTTACACAAATACCACTTAATTCTTTTGTTTACATATCTAACACCTTTCTTCAATTCTTATATACATGCCACCTTATGCATAGAAAGATGCAATTCACTTCTTTAAAATTAAAATATTGGTGTTCTTGATGTGCTACGTAAGATTTTGGTGTTATAAATGTAAAAAGTAAAATTTAGGTGCTAGATATGTAAATACATTGGATATGTATGGTATGTAATACTTTCGAGCAGCTGTTTGGCTAATCGAAAACAGTTTCGCTCTAGAATTTTTGGTAGCTAACTTTTCATATATAGGACGTACAAAATATCCATCCAAACGCCTGCTTGCTGCTGAGAAGGCATTTCAGCAATAGAAAAGTACAAGCAGGCTGTATTGTTTGATATTTTCTAAGATTTACATACATATCACTCAATTCTTATTTATTCACATATCTAACACCTAAACTTCAATTTTACATATGTGCCGCCTTACCTATGTATAAAAAGAAATATTTCACATTTTAAAAGTTAAAATGTTGGTATTTTTTTTTTGTCATGTGAATGTTTTGGATGGTATAAATGTAAAAAACAAAGTTTAGGTGTTAGATATGTAAATACATAGAAAACAAATTTCAATTTCTATAAAATTCAGGAGCTTATTAGGCTTTTAAACCAGTGAATTGTCCTGATCAATCAAAATAAGATTTTTGCTTACCAATGTTATGCCATTCATTGTTTTTCTTGCTTGATGCTCACCGAGTCATTGTTAAATTATCACAATGGTTTGATTGAATAATTTTGGCAGTAGATTGCATTCAGGTTATCCTAATGCCTGCTATACATTTAAATTATATCTCAAATAAGTATCAAATGGGCAATAGCAAAAGTTTCAAACTAAATATTGTATGCAACATTGTGATAAATTTTGAAGAAATCCTTTATTTAACACATTAATTATGTGTTTTTGTAAAAATATTGGAAAAATGAAAAAAAAAAACAATGATGAAAAGCATAAATCATTTGGCTACCTATATTAAAGATGGTATCCATGTAAAGAATTTTCATTCATAAATAACTTTTGAAGTGTGTTACAATAATCCATATTATAGCAGTGTAGGTTGATTATATCATTTTTTGATCAAACTTGATGCCAAAATCAAAATTTCTTAGCATTTATAGTACCTTATTCTACTGTGTTGGAAAACAGCAGGAAAAGCTGTAAGTTTCTCATTTATGCTGGAGAAAAGCTTAACAAAACTCTAGTAATGTTCCTGATATTCAGATTTATATAAGATTTACATGATTTTCCCTTCTTTCTCGCTTTTTTTAAACGTTCATGTTGAGCGATTAGTATGTCAACACATTACAAATTTCCTTGCGGGTTATTCCCAGGGTACTGCCTTCTTTCTTTATGTAAATTTTCTCATTCTCGGAAATTTTCTCTTGAAGGATCTTGGCGGATCTCTAGGTAGAGATGCGGCTACTGGAAGGGGAGTCCTATTTGCTACACAAGCTTTACTTGAAGAATATGGAAAGAATATCTCAGATCAGCATTTTGTTATACAGGTTTGTTTTATTCTTGCATTGGAGTTACCTTTTACTGATGGATTCACCAAAAACACATGATTTGCATATACTTAAAAAAGTAAATAGCTACATTTATTAGGGGAAAACTGTGAAAAGGGGGTGCTGGTTGTATCTCTTATGAGTTCATTTTTAATGGTAAACTGGTCTCACAGTTTTTTAGTTTTATTCACACATTTGGGAAAGTGAAATTGCAATGCAAAATTTTGTTTTATCTGAACCTGAGATTCAGTTCTCGCCTCCAAATGTGGAAAATTGGGTTTTTTAAATCCAGATACACATTATGAATTCAGTTAAAAACAATTTCCAATTACAACTTGTCAGATAATTTCATTGGCTTTCTGGAATTGTTTTCTGCTTTGGCTATTATTTTCTGTTAATAATTGCCTGTCATTAGCCAGTGGAAAATTGATATTCTTCGGCTTCCTTTGGTTTGAAGGAATTGAAACAGAGGAAATGAAAGAAATGGTAATCTTAATGGAATTCAATTGAAAATAGTTTTCATTTACTTCTTAAGGAGGAAATTGAGTGAAAAAAAAATATATATTTCTTGTTTATTGATGAGTTCTTCAGTTTTTTGTTTCTTAAGTGGAGACACATAAGTGATAAGTATGATCCAAATTTTTTTTTTCTATTTTTCACCATGCTTGGGCATGGAATTATCTATAAAAAATACATTTCCTTACTTTTTTAGGCAAACTCAGTAACCTATGAACGCGACACCTAAATGCATTTACATTTCTCCATTTCCTTTGAACCAAACACACACTTAAGTTTTTTCAGGCTATTAGGACTTGTTTGGGATCCTTTTTTTTATTTTTTTCTTTTGTTTTTATAAACATATTTATTTAGTATTTTATTATATAATTTTCTTTTTGGGGCATTTACATACATGCCACCCAATTCTTATGTATTTACACATCTAGCACCTAAACTTTATATTTTACATTTATACCATCGAAATTTTGCACATTACATAAAAAAAAAAATACCACTTTTAATTTTTAAAAAGTGAAATACAACTTTCTATGAAATAGCTAAGTTGGCATATATATGTAAAAATGAAAGTTTAGGTTTTAGATATGAAAATGCATAGGAATTAAGTGTTATGTATGTAAATCTTCATTTTATTTTTTGGTTTTTAAAAATAATTTAGCATTTTTTTTGAATTATTATTTTTATAGACAATCATATTTTAATCAAATATGTCAAATGTGTTTTGTTTCAAATCAAAATATAAATAAAATAAAATAAAAATAAAAATAGAAAATAATAAAAAAAAAAAGATCTAAAAAATCCTCTTGGTACATAAGTTGATAAAAAGAGATAAGGCCATTTTGCTTTATATAAGAATCAACTCAGTGGTTGATTCCTTTTCTTCTGAAATTGCTTGCATTCATTTATATGATCTGGAACAAATCTCGATGCATTTTTGGTAAAAATTAGATAAAAAATAGAAAATAAAAAAATAAAAGTAATGATTGTTTCCATTACTTTCATCTCAATTTAGGGTTTTGGAAATGTGGGTTCCTGGGCAGCCAAGCTTATCTGTGAACTCGGTGGGAAGGTTATTGCAGTTAGTGATGTCAGTGGAGCAGTTAAAAATACAAAGGGCCTTGATATTGAAAAATTAATCAAACATGCCTCAGAGAATCGTGGGGTTAAAGGTTTCAATGGCGGAGACGCTTTTGATCCCAACTCACTATTAACTGAAGACTGTGATGTCCTTATCCCTGCTGCACTGGGCGGCGTGATAAACAGGTTCGCTTAGCTTTCTTTCTCCTTCCATCATTTTTCAACATTAAAATATTAAGGGGCATTTGCATGCATATCACATTATTCCTATGCATTTACATATCTGACACCTAAACCTTACTTTTTTCCATTTTGCCTAATTATTTCACACGACACCAGAAGCATCACTATTTTAACTTTTTAAAAGCAGAAATAGACATTTTCCTGCAATGGTAAGGTGGTGTGTATATAAAAATTGAAGTTTGGGTGTTAAATATGTAAATACATAAGAATTGAGTGATTTGTATGTAAGTCTTCCAAATTTTATTATTTTTTTCCGGAGTGTATAAAAATTTCAAATTAGTCCCTGAACTTTTAAATTGGGGCTAAAATAGTCATCACGGTGTATAAAAATGCCGAACACTGTCATTGTCGAGTCCCAAGTCCCGGATGTGAATAGTGGAGAGTTGTATTGGGTACTCGACAAATAGCGTAAAATTTGTCAAAAAATCATGACGTGAATCCTTTTAATCATTGTGTAAATAGTAGAACGTCACTTTAAAGCGATGTGTTGTATGACTTGAATACAGTGAAAAATGTGCAAGCACTACTATAGCGGTGCCCGGGTTAGTGTCAAATAAGAGTTCTACATTACAGACGGATGTGGGTAAGGAAGTTAGATCATGAAATTAATATTAGGATATAATCTTAGAATATAGGTACTCTCATAGGTAAATTAATGAAATTAATTGATATTATGATTTAAATAAAGATAAATATTTTCTTTATTGAAGAGACTAAGTGATTTGGAGAAAATGCTAAAGAAATTGATAGATTCGGTTTTAAAATTAGGTATTTAGGTAAGAGTCACACTAGAATTAGTATAGTTGTAATTATATGTAAGAGTTTGAAAGATAATGTTGTAAAAGTTAATATGATTGGAGATAGAATTGTAGCCCTTATGATTGTTTTTGATACTAAGATATGTAATATTATAAATGCTCATGCTCCTCAAATAGGTTTAGACATTGGTTCTAAAGAAAAAAATCTGGAATGATCTAGAAGACTTAATATAAATGATACCTCTTGAAGTAATAATTTTTATTGGAGGTGATTTAAATGGATATGTTGATAGAGTAGTAGAAGATTTTAGAAATATTCAAGGTAGCTACGGTTTTTGAGTGATTAATGAAGAATGTAGTGCTATATTAAATCTTTCTTCAGCGTATGATTCTGTTGTTGCTAATATTTTATTCAAGAAAAGAGAGAAATATATTATTACTTATAAGAAATAATATAATAAAATACAAATTGATTATTTTCTTATAAGAAGAAGAGCTTGTCGAAAATGTAAAAATTGTAAGGCCATTTCTAGTGAGAATTTAAGTACTCAACATCGATTATTAGTTCTCGATTTTAAGATGAAGAGTTGTAAAATAAAGTATACTAGTAATCATTGTTATGAAATTAGTTCGGGGCACCTAAAAGACACAAATAAAATTATTTTTATAAGTAAACTTCAAGATATCAAGATTTAGGATGTTCATGAAAAGTAAATTCTATGTGGAATAAAGTAACAAATATTATTAAACAAGTGACAAAAGATGTACTTGTAAAATTAAAAGAAAAAACTTTTATAAATAAAAATAGTTGGGGGTGAAATAATAATGTGCAAGAAAAGATAAATATAGGAAGTTATGTTATAAAAATAAGTTTAAATGTAAAAGCTTAAAGATCTGGGAAAATTATAAAATGACCTGTAGAGAATATAAGAGAACAATCTGTAACGCTAATAATTCTGCATTTAATGATCTTTTTAGTAGATTAAATACTAAAGAGAGTGAAAAATATATTTATAAACTAGAAAAACAAAAAGAAAAGTAAAGTAAAGATTCAAATCAAGTAAATTATATTAAAGATGAAAATCAAAAAATAATTTTTTTAAAAATAATTATTCAACGTAGGTGGGTGAGTTATTTTGATAAACTTTTCAATGAAGTTTCTGAAATTTCAATCGAACTTAGTGATCTTAATATCGTTAATAATAATAAATTGTTTTATTGTTACCGCCACATTAGTAAAAATAGAAATTGATGAGTAGGATCTGATGATATCCCAATTGAAGTGTGGAAACATTTAGGAGATTTGGGAGTATCTTAGCTTACTAAATTCTTTAATATTATTTTAAAAATTAAAAGATGCCTGTGGAGTGGAGGAAGAGTATTTTGGTCCCCATTGTTAAGAATAAAGGGGATGCACAAGGGTATGCAAATTATAGAGGAATTAAGTTGATATGTCATACTTTAAAATTATGGGAGGAGGTAATTGAACATAGGTGATGACGTATTACAAAGATTTTACTTATAATCAGTTTGGATTTATGTCGGGCAGATCTACCATGAAAGCTATACATTTGTCGAGAGGTCTGATGAAGAAGTACAGAGAGCATAAAGAGGTTTTACATATGATTTTAATTTATTTAGAAAAAGTTTAAGATAAGATTCCACGAGATATACTTTGGACAGTTCTAGAGAAGAAATATGTTGCTACGACTTATATTCAAGTCATTAAAGATATACATACTATAGTTGCTACTTATGTTTGTAAAGGAGTATTGACCAATTATTTTCTTATTTTAGTTGGATTACATCAGGGATCAGCTTTAAACCCATATCTTTTTGCTTTAGCTATGGATGCTCTTACTGGGCATTTACAGGAGGATGTACCTTGGTTTATGCTTTTCGCTGATGATATCCTTCTTGTGGATAAGATTAAAGAAAAAAGCTTAGGAAAAACTTAAATTATGGAGGTCTACTATGGAGTCTAAAGGCCTTCATTTGATTAGAACTAAAGTTGATTACATTTAATGTAATTTTAGTAGTAGTAGCTATAGTGACGAGTTGTAACTATGTGTGATCAAATTATTAATGGTGGGAACACTTTAGATATATCAGGTCTATTGTTCATTGTGATGGTGATATAGATGGGGATGTTATTAGTAGAATTCAAGTTGGTTGTTTGAAGTGGAGGAATGCTTCGGGCCTATTATGTAATAGAAAAATACCGCTTAGATTGAATTGAAAATTTATAAGATGATGGTGAGACCTGCAGTGCTCTATGACGGAAAATGTTGGCCTTTAAATGTTGGCCTTTAAAAGAGAAGCTGAAGCTTAAAACTAAGTTGAGTGTTGTCGAGATGAGAATGCTTAGGTGGATGTGTGGCTTTACACTCAGAGACAATTATTTGTGATAGGGTTGGTGTAGCTCCAGTGGCGGACAAAATTAGAGAAAGTCGTCTTGGATGGTTTGATTACATTAAACGTCAACCATCTAAGATGATCTTGTTAGGAGAGTAGATATTTAAGATTCGACTTATGCTAAGAAAGACAGAGGTAACCCTAGAAAGACTTGAGCGTATTATATAAAACTGATTTTTAACTCTGGAATTAAAATCTTCCTTTTGAAGAATCAAAGAACTATTTTTAGGGGGTGTTTGGTAGCACTGCCTTTATAGGATTTAGGCATGAATTTGAGATAAATCCAGTGAAACATGAAAAAAATAAAAATAAAATCCAATGCTCTGTTAAATCAAAATTTCTTGCGATTCGTCTCTTTTACGGCGTAAATCCACATTCACTAAATCTAATTGCAGAGCGGATTTAAGGGATTTACTCTGTCGTCGCTTGTGAGCTCCATCTCTGTCACAAAGTTTGATAAATACATATTTACTTGATTTGATAAATCCTATTTAACATAAAACCAGGTTGCAGCCAAACACCACCTTAGACTTTTCTCACTTTTTAATATTTCTCTGTGGTTTTTAGGTGTCTCTAATGTAGGTTTTTCAATATTCATATGATTTGGTTTTTGATCAGTTCTGTTTATTCTCCCAGTGAAATTGCATTCTTTATCTAACTTTGAAATTTTTATCTCTTCAAGGGAAAATGCAAACTACATAAGAGCTAAATTCATTATTGAGGCTGCCAATCATCCCACAGATCCAGAGGCTGATGAGGTTAGTTTTTTAAGTGGCTTTTGGGGCACCCCTTCATATTTTTGCCCATTTTGCACAATTCCATTACATTTTCAAGTGTTTTTTTGAGATTCATTTTACTAATTTTTTCGCTTATTTGCATCCAGATTCTGTCAAAGAAAGGTGTAATTATTCTACCTGATATCCTTGCAAATTCAGGAGGAGTTACTGTGAGTTATTTTGAATGGGTTCAGGTAGCTCCTCTTCCCTTGCATATAAAGAAATGTGACCACAAATTATTCTCTATTAGGTTCATTTAGTTAATAAAATTTATTATAGATATATCCACCTACATTTCTCTTCTATCAAGGGATATTTGAGATTTGGCCCTTTTCCAAGCATCTCCGTGGCTATACATACGGCCATTGTCTTCGATTATAAGATTTGAGGTTGAAGTCTAGCACATACAAATGTGTGCGCGAGTTATAAAAAAATGGGGGCATTTACGTACATACCGCATAATTCTTATGTATTTACATTTCTAACACCTAAACATTCATATTTACATGCATAATACTCAAATCTTTAACATCATATCAAAAGTACAACCATCACTACCTTTTTAGAAGTGAAATATATCTTTTCATGCATGGGTTTATAACGCTTAGGTGTTATAAGTGTTATTATTAAACTCCGTGTGTTACATTTGTATGTTGATGAAACCATATAAGCTGATTCTAGCTTGGGGAATCGTTGTCTCGTAATATTTAATGGAGTTTAGAAGCTATGTAGAACTCTTTTTGCTGCTTATGGTGAAGATGTCCATTAAGAACATACACTCATAATCATGAGGTGTAGGAAAGCCATCTCTCTCAAATCTTTTATCTTTACATATCACACTTGTAAACTTTCATATTTACATATATATAGTATTTTGGTGTTTTAAGTATATGCATGTAAATGTTTGTTTCATTTTTAAAGAGTGATGATGGTGATACTTTTGTGAATATGAAAGTTTTGGTGAGAGATACGTAAATACATAAGAATTGTTTGCTATGTATGTAAATGCCCCTAAATTTTATTGCTTTGAAAATTATGTCCACAATGCAATATTACATTTTGTTACTGTATATAATTAGTTTGTTCCTGTCTAGTATCTTTAGTGATGTTGGACCTACTTGATGAAAATATGAGATAAATTTCTTTTCTTAGAAGACCAAAAAAAAAAAAAATTACAATGTTGAAATGATAATTTTTTGTGTGGTTGAAGAACATTCAAGGATTTATGTGGGATGAAGAGAAGGTGAACTCTGAGCTGAAGGCATACATGAAGAAAGGTTTCAAGGATGTGAAGGAGATGTGTGGGACCCACAACTGTGACCTTCGCATGGGAGCTTTCACTCTTGGTGTCAACCGAGTCGCCCGAGCGACGGTCCTCAGAGGTTGGGAGGCCTGATTTTAGGGAAAATATTATGTCGCCTGGACGTGTGGACGGCGGCGTGGATCGTACCACGCCATGTATCTGGCGGCATAGTGTGATCCATCCTATTGGTTGCATGTTCGATTTACCAGACGTAATGTTTTATCTTAATTTTAAAGTTCTTTAAACTTCCCCTTTTATAAGGATATATATATTTTACCCTCAATGAAAGACATTTTGTGAAGTCTCCATTGCATTTTGTTGCATAAAATATAAATGACAATTATCTTTAATATATTGTAGAGTTCTTTTGTGAATGATTTTATGTAATGTTTCTTGATTGTTGCATGACATCGATATCAATTGGTGATGGTCCTGCTAAGCATACATCTGGTTATGTGCTCTTCCTACGCTGCACTGACCTGTCACGAGAAAGCTATGGGAAGTGTTTGTATGCACCACCTCCTGTCTTGCTCTAATAAAAAAAAAAATGGCCTTCTCAACATCTGTCTTTTACAGATCTTTCTTTTTGGGTCACCATCCCTTGGAAAAGCAAAGGAAGAAGGAAAATATTGAAGGTGAACAAAATTATGAAGTTGAGAGAGCAGCTATAAAGATATTTATGTTAAAAAATTCTCGTAATAATATAAATCTCTCGTAATAATATAAATCGGAGATGAGCGGGCTAAAATAAATCAGATCATATTCGACCTGAGAGAATATGTCATAAATATTCTATAAAAAAGATCTTTGTAATCAAATCAGAATATAAAATTAAATGTATTTTATTTTCAGTTCAAAGAGACATCTCATGATGACACTCTTGGTCAATCACATCGTGAGGGAGGATGCTAATGATAAAAGGTGTCGTGTTTGCTCTCAACAAGTCATGAAAAACATATGTAGAGAAGAAGATTTTTGACAGATCCTATAGGGAAGACCTCCAATTGTAAGGGTGAAAGTAAGGGTCTGTTTGGGGCAATTAATTTGGTGCTTTGGCGTTTTGAAAACGCACCTGACATGTTTAGGTAAACTGTGTTTTGGTAGCTTATGTATTTTCAAAATGCCGAAAATAATTTTTTCACACGACACCTATCTAGGTGCGGGGCAACTTTCTAGCAGCGGTCTGATTTTTCTAAAAAAATAAAAATTTGTAATAGCCACCAGACCTAGATTATCATAAGATTATTTTTAATCAGCTTATCAGCAAATTATTCAATAAGCTGCAGCTTTTTCACACTTCACCTATTTAGGTGCAGGGCAACTTTCTGGTAACGGTCTGACTTTTCCAAAAAAAATAAAAATTTGTAATAGCCACCGGACCAAGATTATCATAATATTTTTTTTTAATCAGCTTATCAGCAAATTATTCAATAAACTGTAGCTGCCCAAACAGACCCTAAATCACCAGGCCGATAGTGAATAATTGTAACCTAACGGGTAGTTGTAATTTGACCAAGAGTGTCTACAAAATTCGCCCACTAAGACCCGACATGGTAAACAAATATACCCAAGAGGGTTATATCAACGAGTAGAGACAATTTGTTGGGGCTCTATGGATTTGTCCTCCCAAACTATTGGAACTTTAGATCTATATCGTGAAGGTAGTAGACATAACTCAATTGGAATCACTTCATCAACAACTATGTGTTGCATTGTCTGAACTGATCCAATGAACAAAAGTCAGAGGAATGAAACATATAAGTTCCTAGGATTATCTGGATCAAAAAGGTTGAATAAGGGTTATACATGCTAAAGGTATGAACACAAAATTTATGAGGAAAAAAAGAAGAATGGATGGCCTAGCTACAAAGTTAAGTCGACCCACAAAGGGCTAATAATCCTGTGTGGATCGAAAAAGCCTCTACCTTATACCATACCAGACAACCATCTAAGATTGTACAATATATGTCAGGTCGATCAGATCGGGCAAGGGTACTTTCCTCAAGGCATGGAGTATTTATGCAATTATTCAAGACATCTAAATAGTGGATACTCTATTAATATGAAGGGAGATATATTAATGTACTTATGATCATATTAAAATATGACCGAAGACTATACAAGAAAGTAAAATGAAATAAAAAGGATGATTTTAAATTATTACAAATTTTAATTCTAATTTTATTATCATAAATATTTTAAAGTAAAACTTTGTAGAAAAAAGATTTCATCTTAAAGAGCTTATGTGTGGCGTTAATTCAGACAAATCATAAAAATAAGAAACAACGAACACATGCAGGTGCAATAAAGTAAAAACTTAATAAATAATAAATAGATTGGGAGCTGCTATGTCGACAACATATTCCATAAAAAATATAATGGTGGACTGACTTTGCATATTCGGGCATGATTTTAAATCTATTTAACAAATGTATAATCTTGAATTAAGGTACAAGACACGAGCAAACAACTCTCGGTAGTTCCATGCATCAAACTCCTCAGGAATTCTTGCTCGAACCTTATTTTTAGTACATAATCTTCTATACTTTAAAAATATATAGAGACATTAAAAAATTAAGACTTTCACATTATGACTAAACGTCTTAGGCTAACACACCTTGCTTAACAAACTTTCTTGGTATCTCGAGCAACAAACTCAGCTCCAATTGATATCTGTCATTTGTGAGGAAGAGTCATATTCTTCCCATAAAGTACCCTTCGATCATGCAAATTTTGAAATAACACTATTCATAACAAGTAAAATTTTAGGATATGAGTTAAACCACCTTAAATGAGGTAAGGTTTCTGATTCCTAGTCTAGCTCTCGAACGGATGTAAGTCCTTCAGCATTCATGCTCGATCTAGTTGTTATATCTTTTAAGTTGGATACACGCTCCAGAGGCTTTCCTTCCTAATGAAACAAACTTATCAAATCAAGTTTAGGAATAGCAGTAAAACACCTTAAACGGAATAAGGTTCCCTAAGGTTCAAACGGAATAAGGTTCCCAACCTTTCAACAAATGTCGAATTGGTTGTGAGGGCCCCTTTAATACAGTAAATGCTTCCTTCCAAATTGAACCGACTCGTTTTCCTTATAGGATTGGATGCGAGACCACCTTAAAAGGTGTAGGGCTATCCCACCTAAGATAACGATTCAAAGCAAATCAAATCGAAACAAGGTTTAAGATTGGGAGAAAGCCACCCTAAATGTGAGTAAGGCATTCTTTTCCTTAAACAAAACCTAGGATTGGGAGTAAGCCACCTTTATAAGAGTAAGACGCCTCTTCCTCAAAACAAATCGAGGTTCAGAAGCAAGCCCACTAATTGGGATTAAGGCATCCTTTTCCTCAAATAATCCTGAGACTGGAAAAAAAAACCACCTTAAAATAGGGTGAAGGCCTCATGTCCTAAAAAGGTACAAACCAAATCTAATTTTAGGATAAGAGTAAAACCACTCTGAATGGATAAGGTTCTTGATCAATTTAAATTGCAAAACAAGCCACCTAAATGGAGTAAGGCGTTCCTCTTTATGTCACTAATGGATGACTCAGATTACATGAGATGATGAAGCCTTCTCACTTAACCACACTATCAAGTCAATGGTTAGTTGTGGTTTATGTCAGACCACATTGGGCTTAAATAGCCACTTGACTAAAGTATGAGTGCTTCACTTGACGGGGATCATAGTTAAATCTTGGTTAGTTACTTACAAGAAAGCATAACAGATGACTTGGGTTTCATGAGATAATATAGTCTTCCTTGATCTAGTTACCTTGCTTACCTCTTATGTTGCTTGTAAGGCACCCTTTAATTGAGTAAGGCATTCCCCCTAATGTAAAAAGCATATTAGATCAAAATCTGGGTTTTGTGTATGACCCCTAACTGGATAAAGTCATCCTTTCCTCAACTAGTTCTTAATATTGGAAACAAGCCTTCTAAACGGATAAACACCTCCATTCTTAAACTAGTTCAAAAGTAAAATCTTAGGTTTGGTGTAAGACCCCCTCAATGGATAAATGCATCCTTTCCTCAACTAGTTCTTAAGACTGGAAACATACCTCCTAAATAGATCAAGCCCTTTCTTAAAATAGTTTAAGAAAAAAATTTGAGGTCTAGAAGTAAGCCCCCTAAATGGGATTAAGGCATCTTTTCTTCAAACTAGCTCTTAAGATTGGAAATAAGCCCCCTTAAAGTAATAGGGCCTCCTATCTTAGACTAGTTCAAAAAAATGTGAGATTTGTAAGCAAGCCACCATAAATCAGAGTAAGGCGTCCTTTCCTCAACAAATCTTAAAGTTGAGGATAAGCCTCCAGAATGAAATAAGGCCCCTTCCCCAAATATAGTTAACAAGTATGCCTCTTAGGATGTGAGACCACATTTAATAGATTAGAGAATTTCCTCTCTATTGTAGCAAATAGGCTAAGTCCAATATGGGATTGGAACGAAACCACTCTAAATAGGGTAAAATTTCTAACTCCTCAGATGGAAATGAGGTTGGTGGGGAGGCCCTTTTTTTTAACATGAAAAGGTTTCCCCCTTCCTAAAATTTATCAAATCCCCCTTTTGATTGACCAGTTTAAGTTAATGACACAACTAACCCTAGTTCGATAAAAAAATTAGACTGCTTCCAACAAATGCACTGTGCCTGAGCGACACAACACCTTTGTTGAGGGTCCTTGTTTGGCATCAATGTTTCATGATTCTTCCTTGTTGAATGTCCACCTGAATGACTCATGATGATCTATTGTTTGTTGAGGGTCCTTGTTTGGCATCAATGTTTCATGTAACATGTGTAAAATGTCCGCCTGAATGACTCATGATGATCTATTGTTCATTCGTAGTGTCATGCAACTCAAGACACCCATTTCAGACTTCTTAGCACACATTCGGGGCTCGAAGCCAAGGTTCCCGATGATTTGACCTTACCAGGAGAATCCACCATTGGATGGGCTCATTGAGGACATGAGATATGTTAGGTTTTCATTCTGGTTTTTAGAGACCATGAAATATCCATTTGGAGCTTCTCGTGGTCAAGGGAAGTCACGAAGCCCTTCTATGCACGCTACGGGAAAATTAGGGTTTGGAACGCCTTACCTGCGTCATGGTCTAGGGCGACCTTCGACAAAGAATCCCCTAAAGTATGATAAAAATACTCATTCTAGGGAATTATGGGACCTTATTTCAGTAATACTGGATCTCCCATACTTTATGGATAAAAAAAATCCATCACTTGATGGTTCCCGTGAAAATTGAGATTGAGTCCGAATCACCCGCATGAAGACCTTGAACACCCTTTGGTGC